GCCTCACCTTCTCCCTGTCTCCCTCAATCCCACCACTTGACTTATTCTCCATATCCCTCAATACTCCATATTCCTCCCAAGATTCCCCAAAGCTGTTGAGAAACTGCAGCTCAAGTTTATTGAGCTCTGGTTTAACTCCACCTGAAAAAAGTTGCATCAGGTACTTACGTGGCTTCTCGGGGAAACAGCGAGGATTGGGCAGGTACAGTGCCAAACCTGTGGATGTACCTGGGATGAGAGGATCCCAGGTGGAAGAACATGTTGCTCAAATGAGCAATAAGTGGCTGACTCGAGCGAGACATTTGATGGGGTTGAGACTGAGAAGCAATTTTTTGTAGGGGCAACATTCAGAAGTGGCTGATGGCATTTTAAAATTGGAGCCAGGTTGTTTGCCAGCATGTCCCATGTAGCAATTTCAGTTCCACAAAGGCTAGTGAACATCTGGTACTCACCCTCTCAAAAAACAGTGGGTAAATGGTTAAAAAGCTGGGGCTCCATTGGAAAATACTGGGACGCTTGCGCTTTTCTTGGGCTAGAGTTTCATTGGGATATGGAAGAGCAATGGGAAAATGATGTTCACTTGGATACGGATCAGCCCAATTTGTGTGAATGCTGGAGCAAGCTCAAGGGACTGAATAAAACCATAGAAACTAGGAGCAGGGAGTCGGCCATTCAGCCCTTTGAGCCTGTTCCACCAGTCAGTACGGTCATGGCTTATCCTCCAACTCAGTCCCTTTTCTCCCTGAAACCATTTGATCCCTAAGAGCTGTGTCTAATTCCTTCTTGCAAACATTCAATGTTTTGGCTTCAACTATTTTCTATGGCAGAGAATTCCACAGGCTCACTACTGTCTGGGTGAAGACAATTCTCCTCGTCTAAATCCCAAATGGCCTATGCCCTGTCCTTAAACTGGTTCTGACCCCTGGTTCTGAACTCCCCGCTCATTGGGAGCATCCTTCCTGTGATTACCTTGCTTCATCCAGTTTGAATTTTTATTGGTTTCTGTGAGAACTCCCCCTCCATTCTGCAGAACTCCGGTGAATACAATCCCGACCGATTCACTCTCTCTTCATAAGTTTCAGCCCTGCCTCCCCCCAGCTCCCGTGTCCCAATTTTCCGAGGCTGTTGTCAGGAACGATTTAATGTGTGGGACGATGAGATGAGCCTTGATGTTCATTGTGAGAGTGCATGGAACAGCAAAAATGTGCGGGAAGCTGGTTGTTCTGGGGTGATGAAAGGGTATATTTCAGGGTCTTTGAAGGGACAAGCAAACTTTACATGTGGCTGGCATTTGAGGTTGACAACCCAGTTTCCTGGGTGAGGAAACCAGCAGAGTCCAGGAGCAGTATCTGGAAGGTGTTTGTACAACGCAGCCTCGTGACTGGGGCAGAGTGTCAGCCCAGCGGGAGTGATTAATATCCCCTGTAAACACAAGCTCTCGGTCTCCATAATCACCAACTCGAATTAAACGTTAGAGTTGCTCAGTGACAAGTGGCGAAGGATGAATGCAGCCTACCCCCCCCCACCCCCCTTGGTGAGCCAGTATTGAAGGGGACTCGCGAGACACACTGATGAACTCTCTCTCCTTTTCTGCTTCCAGGCTCCTGGCAACAGCAGCGACACACTTCAACCTGCGAACCCTGAGGGCGGTCCGTGTGCTCCGACCCCTCAAACTGGTATCGGGAATTCCCAGTGAGTGCACCGTTCATGTCCAGCAAACTGTGTTCGAAACTTGCTCGTCAGCACGTGGCAGCATTACTCTGAGGGGTCTACGCTCTGACACAGGCAGAGCAGCTTCTCCTCTCTTTACCTGAAAGCAAACAGAAAGTAAAGCTCTGTCTACTTTTTAAGAACTTAAAGGAAAACACTGTCACCATTAAACACTGTCAGGACAGGGTTACATATAGAGCACAGCTCCCTCGAGGCTTTAAAGCTGAAAGTAAAGCTCCCTGTACGCTCTGAAACCGAAAATAAAGATCACTCTACACTGATCCCATCAAACACTCCCAGGACAGGGGCATCATGGGGTTAGATACAGAGTAAAACTCTCTCTACACTATCCCCATCAGATACTCCCAGGACAGGAACAGCATGAGATTAGAAACAGAATAACGCTCCCTCTACTCTTCTAAACTGAAAGTAAAGCAACCTCTGCACTTCTAAATTGAAAGCTTGACAGTGTGCCCATCAGACACTCCCAGGACAGGTACTTTGTTAAAAAAAATTATTTGTAGGATGTGGTGTCCCTGGCTGACCAGCATTTCTTGCCCAGCCCTAGTTGCCCCTGGAGAAGATGGTGATGAGCTGCCCTCTTGAAGCGCTGTAGTCCACTTGCTGTAGTTCCATATATAAGAACATAAGAAATAAAACAGAAGAAAGCGTTTTGACCTCTGAAGCTTGCTCTACCATTCGACATGATCATGGCTGATCTACTTGTGGCCTTAACCCCACTTTTCTGTTGGCCTCTCAAATAGCCCTTAGTCTATTTAAAGACCTCTGCACAGATTCACTACCCTCTTAGTGGAGAATTTGTGCTTCTGGCTTGATCTGACATTATGCTCCCTGGTGCTAGACTCTCCCACAAGTGGAAACAACCTTTCCACATTTACCCTGCCAAGCCAAGTAAGAATCTTGTACATGTCAATAAGGTCTCTTCCCTTTAATGTAAACTCCAACAAGTACAGGCCCAGCCTACCTGACCTCTCCTCATAAGAGAGTTCTTCCATTCCTGGAATCAACCGAGTGAACCTTGAACCCCATGAACATAGTACGGGATGAAATGTTTATACCGAACATTGTCAAGAAATGCACTTTGAAACAGGGATAAGACAATGATAAGGTTAATGTCATCAAAAGGAAAACAGAAATGATAGCTTAGGGACTGACATACCCCTGGGAGCAGGTGTGTTCCATCTCCCGGTTTCAAGATAAAGTTATAGGACATAGAACAGTACAGCACAGGAACGGGCCCTTCAGCCCACAATGTTGTGCCGAACATGATACCAAATTAAACTAATCCTTTCTGCCTGCCCTTGGTCCATATCTCTCCATTCCTTGCTTATTCATGTGCTTATCTAAAAGTCCCTTAAACACCCCTATTGTATCTGCCTCCACCACCACCCCTGGCAGCACATTCCAGGCTCCTACCACTCTCTGTGTAAATGACTTGCCCCTCATGTCTCCTTTGAACTTTCCCACTCTAACCTTAAATGCATGCCCTCTGGTTTTAGATATTTCAACTCTGGGAAAAAGATTCTGATCGTCAACCCAATCTAAGCAACTCATAATTTTATGGACTTCTATCAAGCCTGCTCCGCTGCAGAGAAAACAACTCTAGTTTTTCAAGCCTCTCCTTATAGCCATACCCTCTAATCCAGGCAGCATCTTGGTAAACCTCTTCTGCATCCTCTCCAAAGCCTCCACATCCTTCCTTTAAAGTGGCAACCAGAATTGAACACAATAGTCTAAGTGCGGTCTAACCAAAGTCTTATAAAGCTGTAACATGACATCCTGACTCTTGTACTCAGTTCCCCAAACAATAAAGGCAAGCATGCCATACACCTTCTTTACCACCCTATCTACTCGCGTGGCCACTTACAGGCAGCTATGGACTTCATCCCCAAGATCCCTCTGTACATCAGTACTGTTCAGGGTCCTGCCATTAACTGTATACTTTGCCTTAATATTTGATTTCCCAAAGTGCAGCACTTCACAATTGCCCAGATTAAACTCCATTTGCCATTTCTCTGCTCACATCTGTGACTCATCTGTATCCCGCTGTATTCTTTGATAACTTTCTACACTATCCACAACCCCACCAATCTTTGTATCATCTGCAAACTTACTAACCCACCCATCACATTGTCATGTAAGTCACTTTTATAAATCACCAACAGCAGAGGTCCCAGTATGGATCCCTGTGGAACACCACTAACCATGAACCTACAGCCAGAAAAACACCCTTCCACCACTACCCTCTGTCTTCTCTGGGCAAACCAGTTCTGAAGTGAGTGAGAACATTGATGATATCCCAAACATCATCTTCTAAAGGTTGTCACTTGGAATACCATTTGGTTTATCGCATAATTTGAGTAGTCACTTGGTTGTATCAGGAACAGCAGGGAATTACAGACCAGATAGACTGACATCCACTGTTTCAAAGTTATTAAGGTCTTTTATTTCTTTATTTTACTAATTTTGTCCGTAAGAATCTGTACCTAGGTACATTGTTACCTAAGATGGTGCTGCAAGTGGCAACTTGTAAACTTTTCACTGTACTCATGTGAGTACATGTAACAGTAAAGTTAATTTAAGATAATTTAATGGGGAGGGAGTCCACACCCATTTCAATGTGGAATTCACCAGTTTCAAAATCTACCCACCCCCAGCCTCATCCCATGTCCAACCCTCCCTCTCATCCCGACCTCCTTGACCTGACACAACCTGTCCATCTTTTCTCCCACCTATCCACACCACCCTTCCTACTGACCAATCCCCACTGTCCCCTATCTGCATCCACCTATCACCATCCCATCTACCTTCCCCCAGCCCCACCCCTGGTCCCTCTATTTATTTCCCAGCTCTCTTCCCCCCTCCCCAGTCCTGATGACGGGTCCCGGCCCGAAACATCAACGTTCCTGCTCCTCTGATGCTGCCCGACTTGCTGTGTTCCTCCAGCTCCAAACTGTATTGACCCAGGCTTCAAGTTGCTGTGTACCTGCTCATGACCATTTTTTAAAAATGACTGACCAATAGCCAATCTTAATATCTACAATAGGAAGGGTTAGAAATTCTGCTTTACTCGCACAAAGTCCGTGCTGGACCACCCTTTTGAGTTTTGACGTGAGCAGATCTGGACTCCACATTTTAGGGACAAAGAGAACACGTTCCGGATTTATAAGAATGATATCTGGATGCCAAGGATTAAATTACAAGGAGATATTACACAAAAGAGGTTTGTTCTTGCCAAATACATGACCTCCCATTTCTTCAGATTGCATTCCAATTGCCCCTTCTCTGCCCACTTAACCAAACCAGTATCATCCCAAGGTTTCTTTACATGTTCCTTTTAAATTACTGCTACTATCTGATCTGTTTTGTCACTCTTTGCTGTTTTTTTTAATATCTTTCCCATTCACTGGGACCTGGGCTAATTTTTTCCAATTTTGTAGGTTTCCATATTCTCTCCCTCCTTCGTTGTCCCTGGCTGTATATTTTGGGTCATTACAGCTCTTGTCCCTGCGCATTGTAAACTGGTTCAGTAACTCAAAAGTTCCTCTTTCAACACCTCCAACTGATCATCTGTCCCTTTCCCCATTAACAGGGTCGCTGTGAACACTCTTGGTCTCAGTCTGCTGGAGTCAGCCTGATTGAAATCCAGAATCGTAGGAGTTGTGTCACGTTTCTCTCCTTCCAGCATCACATTGAACTCAATCATTTTATGTAATAAATCTATGAGTGCTCAGCAATATTAGGCTGCTCCCTATGTTTGGCTTATCACTCGCAATTAAATCTAATACAGCCTGCCCTCTGCTGGCTCTGGGATATATTGTTGCAGAAATTGATCCTGAGCACACACTGTCCAAATTCACCAGCTCTCTGACGGTCTGTTTATCCCAGTCAATCTGAAAGTTAAAACCCCCCATTAAAACCGCCCTGACTTTGCATACTCTAATATTGTACAATCTACCACTTCACAGGGTGCCCTGTACTCAACCCCTCCACCACAGGCTGAAGTCATTTTCCACTTCACACTATCCATAAATTCTGTGCTATCGGCCTGTCATTTCTCATCATCAAAGTGATTCCACCCTTCTCTTCCTCCACTGCTTTTCCCCCTATCTTTCCTGTAGATATTTAGAACCTGGTAGATCCAGTTCTCAATCCTGACTATTGGTGTCTCGGTTTAAAACCCTCTAAGTTAGGCTTCCACCTATAGTTCACTCAGTGTGCTCCTTATTTCTATGTTTTGATAAGGAATGGTTATTTATCCCACACGCCCTGACCCGACCTTCTGCTCAAAGGTTAGACTCACAGATTTCTTACTCTTTTACTCTCCTGGCATAATGCTTTCACATCCTTGAGCCTTCTCTCTCCCACCGGTGTTAAACGGTCAGTCTCTGACTGTTAGCTATCTCTGTTGCCTTCTGCATGTTATTAAACTGTAGCTGGGGAGATGGTGGATGAGGAATCCAGAGGCCCAGGTGAATGCTTTTGGGGAAACGTGTTCAAATCCCACCACAGGGGCTGGGGGCATTTCACGAAGCAATGTGGGAATTGGAAGCTCAGCTCAGCCATGGTTCCCGTGTCAATGAGCTTTCTGGCTTGCCAGTCTCCTTCACAAAGGCTAATCTTATGTCCTGGCCTCCACGTCTCCAGACCTCTACAGCAATGCGCTTGACAGCCCTCTAGGTGGTGCACAGAGTCCCTCAGTTCAAGGGCGGTTCGATATGGGCGACAAATATTGACTTCTCCGGTGATGCCAACATCCCACAAAAGAATATGTTTGACTGCTTCCCTGCCTTTTCCTTTAACTAATTCATTGACACACTCCTGGCTGCTCTCCCACACTCTCCCTTCAGTGGGGTTGAGGTGATCTCATACTGTGTTACCTCAGCTGTAGCTCACACCGTCATCCTGCCCTCACCACCCTTCTTCGATTCCATCAACAGTTTGATTTTTGAATGTTAATGCCTGTTTTCAAATCCCTCTGTGGCCTGGCCCCGTCACTGAAATCTCTCCTCCCTCCCCCAGCCCCAGAATCCTCCAAACTATCTCCCCTCCTATAATTCTGCTGTGAGTGGCCTTGCTGTTAGGGACCAGATCAAGCCCCTTCACAATATTTTAAGAGGATGGCCTGGACCCCAACTTTTTCTTATTTTCTTTTCTTAAAGGCAAGTGTAAGGCATTATGTTCCAGATACAATCCAACTGGTTAAACTGCCAGACTTGAAGCAAAACACACTTTAACCTCACCATATAGTTAAAATACAAACAAAAGAAAGAAGAATTGGAACAACAACTCAAATGGAAAACTTAACAGACGGATGGATTATTTAGCTACTAAACAGCAACTGTTCCAATATGCTGAAGAATCTGAATCTAGGTACCTTGTACCTAATATGGCACCATAAGTGGCAACTTGTAAACAAGGGGCAGCACGGTGGTTAGCACTGCTGCCTCACAGCGCCAGGGTCCCAGGTTTGATTCCAGCCTCAGGTGACTGTCCGTGTGTAGTTTGCACATTCTCCCCGCGTCTGCGTGCGTTTCCTCCCACAATCCAAAGATGTGCGAGTTAGGTGGATTAGCAGGGTTACAAGGATAAGGTAGGGGGATGGGTCTGGGTGAGATGCTCTTCAAAGGGTCAGTGTACCCCCTGAAATGGCTCAGCAGACCACTCAGTTCCAGGGCAATTAGGGATGGACTACAAACTCTGGTCCTGTCCCACATCCCAGGAAAGAATAAAGGAATAATATGGGCAAAACTCCCACCCCAACCACCAACGCACCACATTGTATTGTCCAGACACACAGCGTCTAGATTAATGCCACAGTAAATTAATGATGATTATTTATATCTACATTTTAGTTTGTATTGGTTTGTGTTATTTTTATTTTTCTACTCATTAACTTACACTCAGTATCACATGCCAAACAAGAATGTTAAATGCCTCTATACATTCGAATGTCACCTCAATTCACCAGAAATAAACTTCACTTTACTCATGGTTTGATTTAAAAATGAAACACTCCTCAGCTCCTACCCTTCCCGCCATCTCCTTTGGAGATCTGTTAAATCTTTCTCCTTGATTCGCACATCCTCAACTTCCATCTCAGCCTCTGACTGCATAACTTCAACTCCCCCCTTAGTTCCTTTGGATCCACACTTTCTTACTGCTGGAATAAACGCTGCGGGAATACTCAACAGGTTGAGATAGCATCCATGGGGAGAAGCAGAGTTAATGTTTGAGTCAAGTATAACTCTCCTGTGGAATTGAAGGAAGGTAGACATGTAGTTTTTAACCTGACCTCTGAGCACTCTTTCAGAAACAGGACCTCAGCAATAGCGTGCCACCTTTGGGTGTTTTTTTCTCACCATTTCTATTTTAGATTATAATTTCTTGTTCTACTCTCTGACTGGCTTTCTGTAGCTGCTCTACTTTCTCATTGCCCCTTTCACTGACCCTGTCTCTGACCCACTCTCTGTCCCTCTCTCTCTGTCCCTCTCGCTGTTCCCCTCTCTCTGTTCCCCTCTCTCCATTCCTCTCTCTCTGTCCTTCTGTCCGTTCCCCTCTGTCCATTCCGCTTTCTCTGTCCTTCTCTCCATTCCCCTTTCTCTGTCCCTCTCTCCGTCCCCCTCTCTCCACACCCTCTCTCCGTTCTCTCTCTTAGACCCGCTCACTCCTCTTTCCATCCTGTCCCCCTCTCTCTGTCCCCTCTCTTAGACCCTTTCACTCCTCTCTCTGTCCTGTCCTCCTCTCTCCGACCCCTGTCTTAGTCCCTCTTGCTCCTC